AACCTGAAATTAGAGTGAATAAATGAAGACTCGGCACACCACTTCTGAAAGGTTGCCGACCCCTGACCTAGATGCTAGTTTCCATACAAACTGTAATAAGGAACAAATTTCAAAACAAACTCAAGCCTCAATCACTTCTTAACTTGTTCTTGCTCAGCCACTGCTGCTGACTCATTTTTAAAGGCCTTCAAGATGATAAAAGCAGTTTTAAAAGGTGGAGAGATCTGTTAAAACATCCAAAGTCTTTGTTGTACATTTTAAGTTCTTCCTCCCCCCCCTTTCCCCCAGCCCCATTCAGGCCAGTAAATTTAATCAATCTGCTGATTCTTGGCAGATTCATTGTTTTCTTATAAAGTAAATCAGTGGCGCTACATTTCATCATGTTTTTCACACATTCTTTCCTTGCCTTTTGACAAGATATTTATCATTTTACTGAGAGCCAGGATCTAGGTTCAGTATTCATAGCACTCTCTTTTATTTTGCTGTTTAGCCAATGTCTACCTTCGTTAATTGTACCATTTATCTACCACATCAGTAATTTTGTGCTCTAGCTTTCTAATTATTGCCTGCACAAATTGAATGCATCATAGGCTTTAGAAATGAACTGAATCAGGTAATGTTCCCAAGGCCTTTCAACCAGGGAATTTAAAAAAGAAACCCACACAGAAGCCTGTTTTGCTCACATGCAAGCCAATGGCAAAACTCCTGCTGACTTTAATGGGAGCAGGATCAAGCCCACAGTTACTGAACGGATGCATCTAACTGCTCTATGCCATACTGTGCTTCTAGTTAAACTGCTCATGCTGCTGTTGTGATTATGCACATGCATAAATGTGCAGGAGAATGGCTAATTACAGTCATTTGTACGGGCCGTTATGGCAATTCTCAATGCAAAGCAGGTGTGCTGTTCTGCATGCATATGTGCATCCACCTTTTCTGAAAATTGGGTTTCAATATTCAATAGAAAATATTAATGTTTAGGCTCCTGTCTTGCTCCCTTTTAAGTCATCAGAAGTTTTGCTTTGGATTACATGAGAACAGGATCAGGCCTTTTGCACTGAACAAAATAAATAGCAAACACATACTGATAGGCAAGGCTTTGAATATATACTTGGCTTAAAGCTATTCTTAACCCTGTCCTTTTCAAGGCCACCTCTGGGTGTCACTGTGGGAACTAGATGTAATGTTCATATTCAATTTTCCATAGTGGCATCATCAATGGATTTGTTCCATTTAAACTTTAACCCCAAGGAAATGTCACCTTGATGCTCTCTGCTCTTGTGAACTAAGCAGTAATTGCTTCTCTCACCATTTTCATTTTAAGGTAACTGGATGGGTTACAGACTCTTGCAAGCAGTTTTGATTGATCCAGAGCTGTCTATTTGGACATGACACTTTCCAATTAATAATAAAATTAAGCAGATACATCTGACTTGGCTAAGAAGGCAGTTTAGCTACAGTTCAGGTTGCAAACAGTATCAAAGCCTGCATATCAAAACCACATAAGCCTATTAAAACCTATACATAACATATCAAAATATTAGAAAACCTGCTGTAGATAAGATTCCTTGCACTAAAAGGACTGGATAAGCTAACAGGTTTTTTCCATCTAACTTCTAGGATTCTATATATTTAATTGCACTGAATGTCAAAAGAAAATGATGATTCTCGGGCACTATGAAGATTTCAATGTGTTTTACACTTTTAACCTGGTTGTCATCTTCATAGCTGCCTTTCAAAACCAAACCACCAAAGGAACCATTCAAATTAATTTGGCAAATGTGCAGAATCATGTGAAACAATGCAGTGATCATTCATGTGTCCTTTGATAATACATGTCAGATTTTATTCATCCATTCAAAAGCTTTGGAGTCCTTATTGCTTCTACGCACAAAAAGTGAAAAGTGGACAGGTGTTAATATAATTAAAAAAAAAAAAAAGCCCTAAGAATTTGCAGTGTAAAACAAAACATACTGCACTCTACAAATATTAATAATATAAAATAAGGTTCTTTCTTTCTTCAAACCTTGCTATAACCCTGTTACCAGAGGAACAAACATGGCTTGGTTGCCAGTGGTTTGGGCCGGATCCTACCATCTTGGTGCAGGCAACCCTCCAACTGTAGTCAGGAGTGGGCCCCCTGATTTTTATAAGCTCACTTTAAAGGGCTAGCTTGAGTTCATTTCTAGGAACTGATCTTTACCTATTTTTCAGACAGAATCTGCACTTCTTTGGTTAAGGAACATTGTCTAATGAGATGCATTGTTTAGTATTTTTGTATATCCAAATTGCAAGGCATCGTTGGTGTAAATTACTCTTATTTAGAATTTTATTGCAGCAACATCTTGAGCCCCAAGCTCATTGTGCAAAACACTGTACAAGCATATAACAGAATATCCCATATGCAATACATAATATAATAAATATGGTTTCGTGCATCTGTAGCCCTTTTCCCCAGAGGATCTCAAAGCTCTAGCAAACCTTTAATTAATTAAAGCCTTTCACGACATCTGTAAGACATATAAAGTGAAATCGAGGCCCCAGTGAAGTCAATGGCAAAATTTCTGTTGGCTTCATTGGGGCTGGGATTTTTCACTCATAATTTTTATAATCATTTTGCTGATAGGTAACTGAGGCAGAGAGATATTAAGCAACGTGCCCAAGAGTACAGAGCAAGTCAGTGGTTGGGACAGAAGTAAACTCTAATATTTCTGATTCTCATTCCCCTCCTTCAATCACCAGCCAACACACTCTCTATGACAAACTGAGAAAGACGATGTAATAAAATCTATTTGATAAGCATTACATTATGGTCACATCTGAGCATGCTGCAAGCCATGGTTTTCCTCTGCATAAGCAACATACACTATATTTAGATCTTGGAGAAAAATATATAGTTCAGTAAATTGTGAAGCGATACTATTCAGCAGTGCAGTATATTCAGCAGTGGCCACTTTAGTCCAAATGCATTTTGAGAGATGCATGGTGCTCTTACAGCAAATCAAAACATGGCTGGTCAAGTGTTTCAGATGCAAAATCTTAAAGGACCTGGGGTTAAGCAAAATTGTTGCCCTGAAGCTGTGCAAGGTGATAGATCACGGAAGTGATACCACCACTCTCTAGGGTGTGGAAGGGGTAGGAGGGGACCCAGCTAATATTTCTCGTCCATCTCCTGATGGATAAGTGAGGAGTGCCTTTAAAATCAACATAGTAAGGAGCTGTCCCCACTCCCCAATCCAATTGCAAGATGAATATTCTGTACATCATTCCTGACTGAGTGAGTGGGTCAGGAAAGGGGATTGTCATTCCCCGCAAAGACAAGGCAGTGAAAATCACTTAGAACTTGTTCCACTGTAAATTATTCTTGTTATCCCGAGGCCTAGACTGCAGGAAGATGAAAAGCATTCGGTATTATCTAAAGAGAGTGACTGCTATTTCTATTATGTTAGGTGTTATCTAAAGAGGGCATATATATGGCACGATTCTCAAACCTGGGCTCCTTAATAAAGCATTTCAATCCAGAGGTGGGGCAGAAAACCAGCACACATGCTCATACAAATGGCATTTATTTATGCACTTTACAGTCAATTTGATCATTCACTACATTGGTCTGGACATCTTGTTAAGGCAGCATGGTTTGAAAATTGCTCTCTTTGGGTGAAATTTCCCTCTATGCAGAGCACAAGGCCTAAGCACCATTTAAGTTCCACTTAAAGCTTTGGTGTGTCTCTCTGCATAAAGTTGAATTTCACCCACGTAGCATTCCCCAAATCCTGGCTCCTGCTATCTTGACTAACTAAATCAATCCCTCCTTTCTGATCAAGAATCCCACTTAATCCTAGTACTGTTCAGAGAAAACTATGGTTCATAGGATGGAAAATGTAACCGTGATGCTGATTTACTGGGGCAAAATTCCCATTAAAGCCAATGGAAGTTTTTACTGAATAAGATTTCAGGGTCAAAGCCCAGCGACCTAATCCGGTAGTGGAAATACAGATTATCAGCAGTTTTGTAGAGCTTCTACTATTTCATCATTGTGAAAAGGTGAAGAGTACTTAGGAAGTTGGTGTTTAATAGAAATTGCCTAATTTTTTATGTGCCTAAAACAACTGGACAATTATCAACCACCAGAAATAAAATTACATTAACCGGTTTAGAATGTCAGGACCCTGTTTTGTTTTCTTTCGTTGGTAACTATAAAGCCATATTCAAGAGCACCTAAACCTATCATTAATCGACCCCATAGCAAATATTTCCATGTGTTCCAGATCATTAAATGTACTGAATGGTCAACATAGTATCATCTCAATCATGGGTTTATAAACAGAACAAACAGAGTTGGACTATGGACCCCATCCTGCTACCCTGATGCTTGTTTCACTGTCTTTTGAAATCAGTGTAGATCTGGATGTACAAACACTGCAGCTCCGGGCCTTAAAGCTATAGCAGTACTGGAGCACAATGCAGATTGGCAAGAGCTATAGAGACACTGCGCTTTGTTGCTTCATTCTTTAAACACCTTCTGCAGGTGAAGATGTTGCTCTTCATCCCACCCACCCACCCCCTCAGGATATTTTTTAAACACCAAACTCTTTGTTGAGAAAATTCAAATAAAAAAAAAATCAGACTTTTGAAAAATTCAACTTGTTTTTTTACAGTTGAGTGAGCAGTATTCAACCGTGTTGTAACTGTACCTCGGTAGTCAATAGGTTTACCTCAGGGATGAATCTGGTCTAATATGCTTTGCAGCTAGAATCTTGCTAGCATCCACAGCAATACAAACGGCTTCTCAAATATTCATGCAACACAGAACTAGCAAGATATATTTATGAAGCCTCTTTTATATTTAACAAGGAAAATAAGTGCAGACTAATGTAGCCAGGAAGCAATGTTTTAGGAACATCAAATATAAGTAATGGAAAATACTCATTAATATTAAAACAACAATGAGGTCTTGAATAAGTAAATAGTCATAAAAAAATATATGTATCTGAACCTACCAACACTGGTTACCTTCTGGGAGACCAGGTCTTGTAGCAAAGCCTCAATTGCAGGATTGTGTCTGGAATACAACTCATATCGATTAATACCAATGTGGAATTTTAACCAGTTTGGGTAGGAATCTACAGATGTTTCTGCGGTGGGTAAAAATTCTTCATCTTCATTACCTTCATTTTGCCTATCACAAAAAAAGGAGAGAGAGAGAAGTATTATTATTTTTTATCTGCCGGTTCTCCACAAAGCAACTTAAAAGAGGGCTTCAAAATGCAATGATGTGAAAAGCAAACAACGTGATGTGAGAGAAGGGTTTCAATTTGTCCCTGACGTGGATTAAAGGCCTGCTTCCACTTCCAGTGAAGCCATTGGGAGCTTTGCCATTGACCTCAATGAGAGCAGAGTTGTGACCTAAATTATTAGTGCTTGATCCAAAGACCATTAAAGTCAGTGGCAAACCTCCCATTGACTCCAATAGACATTAGATCAGACTTGGTATTATAGTGCACTGTTCTAAAACTCCAAAAGAGTGTTGGTTGAATTCGAGGTAGATGCAGTATATTTTATTTTTTAATCCAGGGTACAATGTTAAAAAAAACCAACCCAGTGTTGTTTTTATTTATTGTAGAGTTGTTGAAAACAACTTGAACAAGTTTGAGACAAAAATATAAAGGTTATCCCAAATCTTTATTTAACAACGAACATGTCCTGAAATTATTTGATAATTGCGTTGTTACATTCAGATATTATACTTCATATTCCTTTTTTGATCTTATTATTCCAAGGGGATCAAAGAAAGTGAAATGACTTTTGACTACTTCCTAAATGCAAATTCTATTTCCCATGTCTGCAAGAAAGCTTGCTTAGCTTTAAGCTATTGTCATAGCAAAGAATGTTATGAATTAATGTTAACTGCTAGATTTGTTTTTAATTATTTAAACCTCGGGAGCAATAACAAGCAGAGCAGTAGTTATATTGGAGATCACATTGCTATCACATGTCTTGATTGAAGGGGTCAATTGTACCTTTAGCCATCTCTAGAGTATATTTCATACATTATTGTCATATGCTGGTGACAGAGATTTTCCAGAGAAATTGGAAGTTTTCTAAGCTAGTGTGCTTTAAGTTTGATTTTAATTATGATACATTGAGGGCCTTTCTGATTCATATAAACTTGAGGCTGAAAATGAAAACATTTACACTATATTGTTAAAGATTCAAATCCAGGCTGGTTGCCCCTCTGCTTGTCAGAGCTTTTGCCTGGCACAATAAAGCCGTTTAAACATTACAGAGTCACTGTGTTTGAAAGAGGGTGCTGTTGTATTAGAGACATGCCTTTTGATTGTTCAGCCATTCAAGTTTCTAAGCATTTCTTATGTATCAGTGGGGCAGAAAATTTATAGATGAAACCAAATGCATTAAAAGTTAAAGACAGAAGCACTGGGCTTTAGAATGTCAAAAAATAATTCAGAGCAGAAAATGTTGTGTCACAAGTCAGATCCTGAAGGTTGAAATCCCATTTATATCTGTATATTATGGACAGTTTTATGACCTTTGAAGTCAATCTCTCTGCTTCTGAGAGAAGTTAATATTTTACTGCTCTGTCTTGTGTTCTTTATTTTGTTAGTTTGGGGGGGATATAAACAGCCCGCTTTAAACACGTTATTTTCTTATCCCATTTGTGACACCTGAATTATATCTCTGAAGCTTTCATGTAATCTGAAATAGCTGCTACTCCAGTCTTGTAAATGACCTGTTAGAACCTATATTTCTTTACAGACACAAAACAAAGATTAATTTTATTTCCAGCTACTGGCTTTGACATATTTTGAAACCTACAACATAACACCGCAAATAGTCTCCCTTTTCTACTTATAATGCTATTTCTACCCTCCTCAGGGTTTTAATAAGAAACGATGGTGCTTCTTAAAGTATATGTAATAAATGTGGTCTATTGTTTTTTTTAAAGTACTCAGTAGTCTTAACATACACATCGGCTACTGTACAGCAGCTGCTTTTGTCACTTATAATTTTGCATCCAGGCAGAGCTTTTTGACACTGGAATGTAAGCGAACTGCATTGCCATTTCAAGCCCTGTGTGCAAGAAGCAGTGGCTCTGTTTCCTTCACACACCCAGTATATTTTTAAGGTATTGTAATTGAAAGGAAGAGCCCAGATCCACTTGCCACACCAGTGGCTGTTGCATCAGTAGCTTTACTCTGAGCAAAGTGAGAAGTTACCTCTCACCAACCCAAGGCAGGATCATACCATCCCCAGTCTCAGGGTAATGCCCCATGAACCTAACCCCAATACTCTGCTGCTGGGGAGAAACCATGCTCTGCAGCGCTGCATACAATGCTGAGACTTCAGCCTTGCTGTTGCTAGCCTCGGGGCCAGATCCTGCGCCTAGTGAAGCCGATGGCTTTACATCCCCTTTGCTTTCAATGACAGCCCGCTGGGGACCCACCGCGTCGAGTCCCCCCAGCCCCGCTCTACTCACCAGTCCTGGTTCTCGGCCGCTTTCGGGTTAAATCGGATGTCGCTATTGACGTTAAACAAGACATCCTCCTCGGCCAGCTCCGGGGTGGCGATTTTGTAGAGGGGCTGCTCGAAGAGAGCCGCGAGTTTGGAGTACCCCATCCCCACGGGCTGGGCGTTTATACTCCCATCTTGGATGAGCGGCTTATGCCCCAGATCCCGGCTTATGCCATTTTGTTCCAGCCTCTTAAAAGCTTCGGCTTTCTCCGAGGTCTTCTCCAGCGAGTGGGAGGTGAGGTTGGAGCTGGGATCGCTGCTGAAATCCTGCAGGATCCGCAGCGTGTGCTTGTTAGGCCAGCCCGGATCCGAGCCGCCCTTAGTCCGCTGCTTCCCCCAGCCCTGAGCCTCCTCGCCCGGGGGGTGAGAACACGAGCAGCCCGTCTGGCCCTCGGTCCTCGCAGCTCGCTTCTCCAGCTTTGGTAACAGATCGATCATGATATGCATCGTGCAAGCGATCAGAAACACCATCAGGATCAGCACCCTGAATTTTCGGACTAAAATCATCTTCATGGTCAAGGGTCCTCCTAGGAAATGATAAGGGAGGGGGGAATTTAAATATTTAAAGGAGCTCTTTCACAGAAAAAGCTTGTTTGTTTGTTTTTGAGCGGAGAGAGAACAAACGCCAACAATCAAGTGCATAAAGTTATCTCCATCGGCTGTTCGAAATAAATATTCTCAAAGCAGTCGCGTCTGAGTCTCATCAAGTACTGAGCAAAAACAACAACAACAACAACAACAAACAAAAGCAAGTCTTTAAAAATCAGTAGGAAAAACAAAAGCCAACAGCAGTTCAATTTATAAACCCATCTGTCCAATTTTTCTTATCTTTTCTTTTTTTATTATTATCACAGGGATCACAACGGTAAAGCAAAGGGATTATTGAAGAGACACCAACATCTGAAGCTTTGATTGGGTAAGAAAAAAAGACAGTAAGGGGAGGGGGTAATAATAATAATAAAACCTATTAAAAAATAAAAGGCTTTCAGGAGAAGCAAAAATCATCCATAATATTTAGATGTGCTGGAAACGCTTCCTCCCATCCTTTGAAATTGACCAGTGATGCAGCAGTGAGACACACACACACTCTCTCTCTCTCCTCCGCGAGACTGTTTAAAAACATTGGCTGGAAAATGATTTTCTCAGACAGTTTCCAGATTCTTCATCCATCGCATCCAGTGCTTGGGAGAGAGAAATATTCAACTAGGATCAAATCAGGGTGGTTGCTGGATCCAAGCTGGGGTTCCGGGGTTGTTGGGTTTTTTTTTGGTTGCAAAACTGTCTGATGGCACTACTGCAACGTAAAGCTTAAATATGGCACGAAAAAAGAGAGAGATTCGAGGAAAGAAACTAGCACAAATCAGTAGCGGTTCTTCTTAGCGAGGGAGGTGCCGGCTTTGATCTCTGCTGGGTCAAACAGATCTGCCTTGAGAGAGAAAGAGAGAGAAAGGGAGAGGCAGAGAAACAGAGGGAGAGAGAGAAAATAAAGAGAGAGAGAGAGAGAGATCTTTGGCAGGTGCAGAGTGAAAACCCCTTTCAGCTACACTGACTGCTTTAGACTGGTTGGACTAGGAGCGCTGAAGCTCCAGCCTTCAGTGGGTGTGTTAAATATTATGAGCATGCCATGAATCCAGACGTCATAGTTAAGAGATTGGCTAAATAAACGTTACAATGATAGTAACAGGAAAGCCTCAACCACAAGCTTTTCTTTCTTCCCTCCCCTCCCACTCCCCCCCCCCCCCTTCTACTGCAGCTCCAACTGGGGCAAGGAGAGGGCGTCTGTTTCTCAAAGGTTTTTGGGGGGGAGAGAGGGGGAATCTATGCTAATAGCATTGCAAAGTATTAGTACAGTCTGGCTGCCTAGACTCAGGAACATGAATTCTGCTATGTCATTGTCTGGAGGGGGGAGAGCATTTTCTAAAGCAAATCTGCTTCTTTGCCTTCCCTCCCCACCTCACCCCTCTATAACAAGGTCAAAATGTAAAGCTCTGCTTCTGTTCCTCCTAAGAAACAGATGAATAATCTTTATGTTGAATCTGGATCCTCTGGGCTGTAGCAATCTTCAAAGGTGCTGCAGTGTAATAATACAGCCCTCTGGTTACATTAGCCTCACATGCTTACAACATAGCTTAATGGAAAAGGAGATTAGGTTACCAATATTGTCCTCCATCCAGGAGAGATTCTGAAAACTGACCAAGAGTTTCTAATAAGATAAATTAGAGAGGAAGGATAGGATTGAGACTCGGAAGATTTGGTTTCAGCTCATGGCTCTGCCACAGATTTCATGAATGTCCTTGGACAAGTCACTTTGGCCCAGATTCCCCCAAGGCATTTAGGCACCTAGATCCATTGAAATTAGGAGTTAGTTTAAATACCTTGGCGGATCTGGGTCTTTACTCTCTCTTTGCCTCAGTTATCCATCTGTAAAGTGGGGATAATCATACTCCATTTGTCTTGTCTTTGGGGTGGGGTCTGTCTCTTACTGGTGTTGCACAACAAGGCCTTGATATTGGCTGAAGGCTCCTTGTCATACTGAAAAGTAATAAGCTAAAACACTGATATCCACCACTTGCTATCTTTACACAGGAACACAGAAAAGCTGTATCTATTTACTTATTTTGACATGTAATGTGTGCTACAAATGCATCACACTCTGAACCCTCATTATAAGACTGTTAAGCCATCAAGATATATTACAGTGCCTCAGGGCCGGCGCAACCCATTAGGCGACCTAGGCGGTCGCCTAGGGCGCTACAATTTGGGGGGCGGCGACCGTGGCGGTATTTCGGCGGTGGGACCTTCTGCCGCCTCTGTGGGGGGCGGCATTTCGGGGCGGGACCTTCCGCCGCGTAGGGTGGCAGAAAAGCTGGCGGCGCTCCTGCAGTGCCTTGTGCTTGCATTAAACATATATCTCTGCTCTTATAACATCGCCACACTGGAAAACTTTGTTTTCAAAGGTGGTAAATGACTCTGAAAAGTGCAAGGCTATATATGCCCTGATCCTGCAAGCTGCTCAATGCAAGTTTGCCTTTGTGCTCCTGCAAAACCTTATTGACTTCAGTGGAGCTTGGTGTGGGTGCAGTGGTCCATCCGCATGGACTGCCTTGCAGAATTGGAACCAGCATTTGCACAGAACATTTTTAATGCCGTGCTGCCATATAGCAATCTGTACCTTGAAAATTCCTCACTCTGTGTGTGGAGTGTGGAACATAATCTTTGGTAGACCGTCCGCCACATTTCTATCAAATGCAGGCAAGGGCAGATAAGTCTTACAGTAAATCTTATTGAAGTAAAGCTTATTGAACTCACGCTGGGAATTGGGCATTATCAGTTTGTAAAGAATACCTAAAGTATGTTGTTGTTTTTTTGACACTGCAAGCACAATATGAACAGGATATACATTCTGGGGTACATCCTGCTGTCCTTATTCAGGCAAAATTCCCACTGAGAATTGGATTTCCTGAACTCTGCAACTGATTTGTTAGAGATGTTGAGCAAAGCATTTACACCTCTAAATGCTTCATTTAGCCATCCATCAAATGGGAGAAATAGTACTTACCTACCGGAGGATAGCTCCAAGGATTTGCTTTCAGATCTGCTTAGTCATAGTTCCACTGGCCCTGCTCCCCACACCTTCCCTTAGGCTGCCCTTCGCCTCCCCCGCCCGCCAAGCACAGCTGGCTCACAGTCCTTCCATGATATTTTTAAACGTGACTGTGGAGTCTACCACTCTGAGATCATCATGGAAAATCATGTTTCGAAATGGGCAAATGGTGATTTGTAGCCCATGGCATAACTGAAGTGGTCCAGGGGAAGATGGCAGGAGAGTTAGGGTAACTGAGCTGTCTCGACCTCTGAATATGAATGTCCATACTTTCAAAGGATTGTGTTTCTTGTAAGTGTAACCATGCAGAGGGTTGTGGGGAGTGAAGATTCCCTTCCTCCCTTCACTCCACCATGAGCTGTGACAGATTCTTCAGCACCCTGACATCTCCAGCCTCCGCAGCTCACAGGCATTAGAATGCTCATCAAGGCACCAGTGCATAGAGGCCCCATTGGGCTCCCCTTTCACATGAACCTTAGAAGGCTCATCATTCCCCTTCATGGGTAGTTTGCTCTTCAGTGGACAAGCTTTTCAACTGATCCGTTGCCATTTTGAGGTTTAATCCACAGGGGAAAGGGCTAGACTCAGTTTTTAAAATGAATCCTGAGGTCTCCAGCAGTCCTTTGATTTCAGTCTAATATTGCCAGAGCCAAAGTTCCCTGGAGTCATTAATAAAAGAGAGTTGTTTTAATTCTTTCCTCCCCTTTCTTTGCTGAGTCACTCAGTTACAGACCCCATTTCTGTAATGGTTTATGTGAGATTCCACATACCTGAAATTACACCCATGTATGTATTTATTGGATCAGAGCCACAGAGATATCAATATTGCCACCAACATAAACATTCCTCTACTTTGACGCTTTTTTTTTTTTGTGTGGAACTTGCAACAGGGTTGTAGTTTACTAAGTCCATTGCTAATTGCTTTAAGAGATTTCCCATAATGGACAACAGTCTCTTCATCCTAGACTCCTAATTAAATGTGGGTACTTTTAATGGGTCTGAATAAGAACAGAGACGTGGGATTCTTTAAACACACTATGAATGAGTTTCCTTATGGTTGTAGCTTATCCTCTGCTTCTGCTAGTGCTGATGTAGAGTAAAGGACACCAGGGAATCCTGCCCTGGAGAACAAGGAAATACGGATTGCTCCTGTTTATCTCACTAACTTCTCCTATATGTCCTGGGCTATTCTTGTGTGGGAAGGAGGATATCCACACTCCCTGACATCATCCCCTTCTCAGACTCATCTGACCTTTAGGGAACCTATTACTTCCTCTTGGTTCATGGCCCCATTCTACGTGCTCTCCTTCACCTTCACCTTTTGTAGTCTATAGGCTCTGAGCACACTCATTTTCCCTTTGAACTGCTCTGTGCCTCTCATGATCAGGTCTTTCATATTTGGGATGACAGGGCAGTGCCGTCCAAAAGAGATCTTTAATTGGTGTCTTTATTCCATGGAAAAAAATGTATAAAAAAGTCAAGGAATTCTCTATGTTTCCCGATTTTGATATTTAGAACCCTATATATCCAGAGGAACCATCTCCTTTGTATCAGAGGGGTAGCTGTGTTAGTCTGGATCTGTAAAAAGCAACAAAGAGTCCTGTGGCACCTTATAGACTAACAGATGTAATGGAGCATAAGCTTTCATGGGTGAATACCCACTTCGTCAGATGCATCTCCTTTGTGTTACTCACAAGGCATTCTCAAAAAACAGCAAGTTCTTTCTGAATGTGTATATCCAGAGACTCAGTGCGGCTTCCATGCTTGTAGATCAACTATTGAGGTAGTCTTTGCACTAAGGCAACTGCAAGAAAAGTATCAAGACCGCTCTACATGGCCTTCATAGATCAGACCTGGCCAGCAGAAAGGGCTTCTCCCAGTTGCTAGAGAGAACTGTTTGCCCCCAAATCCTTCTCAATCTGATTCAATCCTTCCATGATGACATGAGGCCAACAGTACAGTATGATGGTGATCAATGTGACAGCTTTGAAAACCACAGTGTTATTAAACAGGGATATATTTTGCCACCAACAGTCTTTGGTATTTTCTTCTCTCTGCTGCTTTGTCATGCTTTTTCATCTAGTGCCAAGGGTGTACATCTCCGTAGGCGATCAGATGAAAAACTCTTAAATATTGTACATCTAAGACCAAAAAAGCAAAGTTAAATACCTGATGCTAAGAGAACTTCTTGTTGCCAACGATGCACTGCTTGTTGCACAAAGTGCAGAGGAACTCTGGCAACTTTGTAATAGCTTTACACTTGTAATGAATTTGGACTAACCATCAGTTCAAAGAAGACCATGATGATGGCACAAGTTGCGTGGACAGTACCAGAAGTTTTAATAGCTAGCACCTTGCTAAAAGTTGTGCACAAGTTATGCTATCTGGAATCATCTGTATCAGATAACTTATCTCTAGATGATGAGCTTAATTCTTGGATTGGAAAGGCAGCCACTGCATTTGGACAACTGACCCAAAGTGTGGAATAACCGCAAACTAACACTCAACACAAAGATACGGGTCTACCAGACGTGTATTCTGAGCATGCTGCAGTATGGTGGCCAGACTTGGACTGCCTACGGCATGCACAAGAGAAGTCTAAGCACCTTCCACACACACTTTCTTCATCGTATTCTAAATATCAAGAGGGAAACCAAAGTTCCTGACACCAAAGTACTTGAGAAAGCAAAATTGCCAAGTCTAACCACTATTCTTAAAGACAGACCTCTCCATTGGCTTGGTCACTGCACTGGATGGGTGATAGACGCATTCCAAAGGATCTCTTGTATGGAGAATTTCAGGATGTTCCCAGGCCAACGGGCCAACCTAGGCTCAGATTCAAGAACATTTGCAACAGGGACTTGAAAAGCTGGATATCACAAGCTGGGAAGATGCAGCTACCAACAGGCCACACTGAGGGGCTGTGCTGCACCAGGGAATTAAAGAGCTGAAGAGATGT